CCTCTTCCAGCAGCAACCTTAGTTTTTCCCAGGAGGTCTCCCATCCAGGTACTGACCAGGCTCACACCTGCTGAGCTTCAGTAGGGCTGCCAGTTGTGAGTTGCAGGGTGATATGGCTGCTGGCCATAAATAAATAAACATGCTAAAATCTTACCATAGTCAAAGGCAATAACAAGCCAGAAACACAGATGGACATCAGTGTTGTCACTTACTGTAAAGTGTCCAGGAACTAAAATGTCTAAAAATAAAAGAATTACCATGGCTCAATGGTATTTTCCTAGTCCTACTGTACTTAAGGAAATGGAGGGCATTATTCACAGATCCCTCACTATGAAATTTCATCTAACTTTAAATGGAAAATACTACAGAACAGAGAACTGCAGATGTAAAAACAATATATTTAAAGTGGGATGGAACCAAATCTTTAAACAAAAGACCATTTAGGTTAACTTCAATTACAGGTTATGATTCATACAGTAAATGATAGTTAAAGATAAATACAGTTTTCTGTGGAAAAATTGGCAAGTGACAGAAGACATACATATAGAAAGGGAAAGCCCTTTAATTAACATACCAGCATTCTTCAGTCAAGCAACAAGAACAGTATAGAACTCTTAAGCATATACAGTATCTGGTCATCAAAAAACCTTTTGATGAGGTCATTTTGATGAGGTAACTTGTTAATGAACAAGGGGCACTGTGTCTAATTTGACAGATGTAAGCAGTGGCAAAGAAACTCAAAGGCTGATCATGTTATTATTTCATTTTAAGTATGTCTCACTCTGCTAGGCTATAACATCTCACTCCCTGTTGCAGGTGCTGATACAAGCATTTTCCAGAATGGGGTTACTAAGCTAGAATCAATTGCTCAAGGTCTTTTTCCTTTAAAACATGTTGTCTTTATACTTTTGTACCTTTTCTATCTGTGTTTAACAAAGAATCCTGTCCTGAGCAGAATACATAGCCCTGCTTTGTAGAATGATATCTGAAAGATGTAACAAGGGTTAATGTCAAAGATACTTGAGTCTGGGATCACTGGATAATAGCAACTTGTAGTGAAGCCAAATAAGTTAAATTAAGCTATCTTATCTGCAAGATGAACTGCTTATGAATGGTCTTTGTTCTCCAAAGCAGGTCTATGTCCTGTTCTCCAAGCTCTTGAGGAATGACAGCAGCCGAAGACTGTGTGATGGCAGAGTCGTTTGCCGAAGTTTGTGAAAACGTGGCTGAACCCTGCTGGGCTGAGGGCCACCTTCTCGGCAATAGCATGGGGAGGCTGGGACCCCCACACTCGGTGGCCAAGGGGTGACAGCAAAGGTGGAAATGTGGTGGAAGAGGGATGGAAGAAAGAAGCAAGGAAGAGGAGAGGGAGACATGTGGGTGAGAGAGTAGCATTCTGCACGACAAACACTGCAAGCATCTTTAACGACAATGTCACGATTATAGTCCCCCCTCCTTAAGGGTGCTCCAGCCCTTTCACTTTAGACTTCATTTTGTGCACCTAATCCCTTTTTCCCAGCCCACCTTAAAAGCCAGGCGCTGACGTTCATCCTGGCTCTGCATCTGGTTTCCGCACCGTGTGAGTCCGGGACCTGGAAGCGCCTGGTCCCGTTAAGGTTTTAATCTCTGTTCCCGTTCCCGTTCCTGTTCCCTGTCTGCCGGTTCCGACCCGGTTCATGGTTTTAATTCCCTGTTTGGATGGATCTCCTGGCTATGGACTTCCTCTTGTGTTTTTGGATACCCTCTTTGGATTACTCTTTTGGATTGTTTGCCTCGGCCACACCTTCCCCGTGCACCAGTGCACCTTGGACACGCCCCCCTGTTTTCAGCCCCGTATTCCTGCATGACGTTTCCCTAGTGTTTCCCCACTTCTTCGGATTGTGTCGTCCGCATAGGGTCCGGAAAGAACTGTTCGTTACAGACAGGAAACAAAACAGTGGAATTCCCAGAACCCTGGCAGGTTCCCTTGGAAAGATCATATTTGAAGGAGTACCTGGAGAAATTCACTTTCCAGGTGATGAAGAGCTTTGTCAGTGTCAAGTGACAACATAGCACAAGGGCATTTTAAGGCCATGGTTGTGTGTGTAACTTGTTCAAAATGATTTACAGTTTATTGTTCTTTATGAAACCCATTTGGTCAAAATGTATTGGTTCAATCAGGAGGCCAAAGAGACATTGCTTTCCCAAGAAGGTTTTCATCAGCATTTATTAAAAACACAGCTTGGTTAGCTCAGTTAATCTGAAAGGTCTTTTTTTTTCAACAGGAGCTTGATAATAGGGTTAAAGACGTGTGAAAATAGCCTCAACTGTCCAGAAAGCCATTGTCCCTTTTCATATCCTGTAAAAGCACTTACTTCTATAAATATATGTAGGGATAAGGATAAAGGTACCCTCATCTCGTCTAGGAGCAAAGCTTGTGGTTTGTGAAGGAGTTGGTGTAGATTTACAGCTGAGCCAATGGAAGATTGAAGGAGTCAATGAGTCAGGCAAGTATTTACTTCACACAGCAAAAGTATTTATTCCGCTTTTATTTCCTCCCAATAAATATGATTGATATTTACTTTATTCATTTCTATGTGGTACTGCTATATGACACAAATCTAAATATGATTGATATGATAATTAATTCATTATCACAATAGCAATGGAATGAGTTAGGAATGAATTAGGCAATGAAGGATGTTGTCTGGTTGAGAAGACACTAGTAATAATGAATCACTATATGCAGGAAATCACATAAATACCAACTCCCCAATTATTTTAATAGGTTTGTCTTAATCAAAGTCATATAAAAAGCATTCAAGTCTATGCAAAGAAAAGAATAATCAGACATACCAGCATGTCCTAGGCCCTAATCACCATAGAAATATAATAGAAATATACAGTATGTAGGCTACAATAATATGTATACTTTAAGGACAACTGTCAAAATGTGTTTATGGAAACTGCATGCATACACCCACAGTACAGAACAATTCTCAAATAAGAAAATATAAGAGGAAAAGTTGTTCAAAGGTCATCATTCATCAGCTCAAAGGTCATCAATCATTGAATACTCCAGCACTGACTGGCTCCTCGGCTTCTGTGACACAGCAAAAGATACAAACAGTCTGTAGTTAAGTCTCAGTATAACAATGAGCACGTTTACTTTAGGCAACATCACATATCTCTTTGCACCTGAGTGATTGTGGAGTAACAACCTCTTTTGCTAGTTTTCCGTGCCTCTTTTCAGTCATTTCTTTGTAATTTTGTTGTGGACGTCATGTGTTCCTAGAAGGATTGCTTGTTTCACTTTTAATTGCTGTTCTGACCTCACATGATAAATGTTTAACCCAATTCTGGGTTCCTCATCCCTAGACTTTTCTTCTTCTTTTAGTTCCAGCATAGCTCTCTACTGTATGAGGGAGCATTGAACAGCACTGGTTTGGCTTTACACTCTTAATTGGAAGGCTAAGAGTGACTCTTCACTACAGTATAATGCTGTGAATTGAAGTCTCTGCTGCAGGTACTGATGTTTTAGCCTTCAGCAAGATAACTTTACCTCAGTTGCCCCACTCCATCTAATAAATATTAGCTGTATCATTAAGTACCTGCACTGCTAGGGGTAACCTTGAGCTGGACTAGTGTTCCGTCATAGGAGGAGTCGCCTGCTCCTGACCTGATTAGATTCTAGGCCTGAGTATCACACTGACCTCTCAATACCTTAAATGGAACAGTTTGACCAAACTGTGCCTAAAAAAATGTATATACAGTATACAGTATATATTATTTCAACTCCTAATAAATAAACCCCTTAGAATTTTAATATACCAAAAGAAATCTTTGTCTCTTTGGATTGCATCTTTAACTAGCCTAGGAAAAAGGCAAATTGAGCAATTTATTGGTTTAATTCGAGGTTCAATCAAGGAACCAAGAGCTGAATCAAAAACCAGAAAACAATGAAGTAGGTAAGTTTTAGGTAAATATTTCCATCATCCAATTTATCTTCTTTACAAAACAAAGTGTCAATTTCTTTTACGACAGCTGCTGTAAGTATACATATTAAGCCACCTGTGCATGCTAAGCAGAAAATCATCAATTACTTAGACATTTTTGCATCAAATGTTGTGATCAATTTAAAACTTTGTGTTTAAGTGACATTTACACATTTGTACCTCTTCAATGTTATACTATGTGTTTTTATTGAAGAAAAATACCACTGTCTGTAATATCACTTCCTGTAATAGTGCTCTGTAATAATGTTGCCTTGTAACCATAGAACTATCTTTTCATAGCATTAATCATGTATAGTAAACTGATACATCTGTTCTTTTTCTTTTCCCATTTAAAACCGTTTTTGTGCAACATATGCCAGGGACCTGTGCAATACATTTATATTTATAGTCATATTGTGCAATACGACTTTTTTGTGTACCGTTCAGGTTTGTTCTTTGTGTGTTCTGGACTGTGAGTAACTCTTCTTAGTGCACTTCTCACTGTACTGATTGGATTGTATGTCCTGTATTATTATTATTGTATCATTTCGTTACACTCTGTCTGTGTTGTCTGTGTTAAGCTGCTGTTGCACTGCAATTTCCCTCACGGGATCAAAAAAGTATCTATCATCATCATCATCGATCGCTGTTCTTTAAATGTTGTTGAAACCATGCACCACAATACTAGAATGTAATATTTAAATCTGAAATCTTACACTTTCATACCATCCACAACACAGCATCCCCAGTATGAAAAATCCTCCAGACTGAAGATTTCATTTATATACAGTATATAGTTCAAGTAGGTAGCTGTGTCAGGAAGAGGTAATGAGTTTATTCCATGCTGAAAAGAAAAGAAGAGAAACACAACATTTCGGCTGTGGGGCCACACCTGAAGCCAAACGCTGTGTTTCCTTTCTTTTCTTTTCAGCATGGAATAAACCCGTTACCTGTTCATATACAGTATATATACTGTATATGTTCAGTCTTTCCTTGGGAAGAAACCAAGTAACATAACACTTTGATCAGAGACAGAGACAACTTAGAGTGAACAAAGTCTGAGGAAGATAATGGATGTTTGAATTGCCTTTATAGTCGACAGGAAAACAATGATTTAAAAATTACACTACCATTGTCCCCAGTGTGTTAATGAAGCTCTGTGATAAATGCATTTGTGGTAAAACACTGTAAGTCTTCAAGCCTATTAATATGCTTGTTTTGCCTTTATTATTATTTCTGTAGTTGCCCCTAAGTCATATACAGTAGTGAATATTTAATGACTTTCTCTGCCGATGTGCAATATATCAGTGGACCTCACCTTTAATTCTGTGTTTGTTCTTATAAATGTCAGGCAGGTCACCAATTTTGTCCTCACTGACTCCCCAGCCTTTCAGAGTTAAACAAGTATTCTGGTCAAAGCTGTGGGACTTCCAGCAATGAGCACCAAACCTGCAGTTCCCTTGTAAGTAGTACCGACAGACATGGAGTTTGCAGCAGTTTTTTTTGTAGTCACATGATCCATATTCTTCATTGCCCTGATTGTAATGACGACAGACCTGCAGCACAATACAAAAATGTACTTACTGCTCAAATAAGTTATCTAAGAATTTTTAGAATTACGTAGTGACAGTGACTTCAACAACAAAGTTAAGAACACATACAGAAGCTTAGATGTTGATATTTTGGTCTTCAAAACAGGTGACGTGGCAGATAGCTGATTTTTTTGAGAACATGAAAGTATTTGTCCAGAATTCTTTCTTCAGTAAGAGTCCTAGTAGTAAGAGGATATTGAAAGTAATGTTGAACTGCATACTGTATTGCTGAATTGACAGTACAGGTATGTATTGCTAGCAAACTAGTATAAAAGACACAAATCCTATTGAAGAAAAAAGAGGGACAGAGCATAATGAAGATCTGATCACCTATCCTGCCATTTTCAGTAACCAGTTCATCATCAGAGGGCTATGGTGAGCAAAATGAAACACATTTCTGAATGGGATGCCACTCTATTGCAAGACACCCAGAAATGCATTCAGACAGGTATATTCACACATACAGTACCTAAGTGGGGTGGAGGGTGAGAGAATTTAGAGACAACCATTAACTTACATAGTATGTCTTTGGACTGTGAAGGGAACACACAAACTATGCATAGACTCGCTTTTGAACCATGGAGCTGTGTAGCATCTGTTTTTTTTTCCCTAAAAGCAATTCTATTAATATTATTTTGCAATGTGCTCGTGGCATCCTCTGGCACATACAACTGTGTATTTTCTTCATGTTATATTGCCATGTCTTCAAAGAGTAATGTACAAACTACTAGGTAACATGTTATTTTGCATTAGCAATGTTTTGAAAAAAATTGCTACAGCATCATGTCATTTTCTTAACACTATGGATGTGCAGTGTTACCACAACATTGAGTAGTGATTTTTCTGTGTGGCAGCATAAATTTCTTTTCCACAATGTGAAATAAGATGAGATAAGATTACTTTATTGGCCATATACAATTTCTTGTATTAGCAATTCATCTTTTCGCATACCCCAGCTTACTCTCCATGAGACACACAGACAGGGAGAAAAGCTTGGGGTCAGAGCGCAGGGTCAGCCACCCCTGGAGCAGTTGGGGTTAAGGGCCTTGCTCAGGGGCCCAACAGAGTAGGATTCCTCTGTCAGCCGCAGGATACAAACCAGCAACCTTCTGGCCACAGGTGCAGATCCTTAGCCACAGAGCCACCACACCATCCGGTTTTATACATTATTATGTATATAAAAACATACATGCATTATTTTTTATTATTAAAGTATAAATTACAGGTGGCACAGTGGTGCAGTGGTTAGTATTGTCATCCCACAGTGCTGAGTTTACTTCCTGAGGTGCGAACTATGTGGAGCTTGTGCTGTATGTTCTCCCTGTGTTTGCGTAGGTTTCCTCTCATAGTCCAAAGACATACTGGCAGCTTATTTGGCCTTGGTGTGAGTGTCTGTGTCTGTGTGTGCCATGTAATGGACTGGCATCTGTCCAGGGTGTATCCTGCTTTGCTCTTATTACTCACCAGAACAGGCTCTGGTTCCAAAGTGACACTGTACTGGATAAAGTAATTAAAAAGTACCCATTTCTGTTGGTTTTGGTAGAATTAGAGTACAAATAAGAGTATTAAATTTCACCGTGACAGAGAATAAAAGGTAAGCTATAAAAGGTCTAGCAAGGAAAACACTGTTGGACCAAGGACTGTACTCATAAAACAGAGACCAAAATCTACTAGAAGATTATAAAATTAAACCAGTAACATCTCTGAAGCACGCTGTGAGTGAAGGAATCACAGTCATGCAGGGTTAGTATCACAAATTATTGGTCACCCCACTATTGTATTGTTTCCTGAGCAAATTTAACTGCATGATTGAAAATATTTAATGCTGAAAGTCATTGTTTCAATTGGAGTTTATTTGTGACACATTTTTGTTATCCTTCCCAGATTTCCTTTGATACAGACACAAGTCAAATGAAATAAAATACTTAGAAGGTCATCAAGGGCTGGTATCTACAAACTGGCAGTCTCCAGAAGGTTTTAATATGCCTAGATTGAGAGAGAAACACTTTGTAGCCCATATTTTCAGTCCAGAGCCTCTCACCTCAGGCAGAAGGTAGGAGTCGTTCTGCAGCAGGAGTTGAAACAGCTCAGCTTCGTCCAGGTCTTGCAGAAAATGGGCTCTCAGAACAGCTCCATTGTGGTCCGAATGGATATCGTGTGAGTTTCTGCATTTGCCACTGCATAAATATTTAAAAGACTTATTTCTTGATATACAGTATCATTTCTTAATACTGTAAGTGGTCCCCCAGCTACAAAGAACTGAGAAAGAGCTGACTCTAAAGTATGGATTTTCCTAATTGACTGTCTTTTCCTCCAGCATTTTAAATCTTGTAATTCTCCTAATTTTGTTTTGGATAAGTAGAAAAGCAAATAATACCACTAAACCAGGCATTTTGTTCCGCTAGATCTCTTATTTATTGTGTCTTTATTTAGGTCATTTTTAGAAATGAGGGAACTACATACTGTAGGTCCACACAAAGTGAACAAAAAATATATAAAAATGTTTTTTCAAGACAACGTAGGAAATGTTTTTAGATATGGTTAAACAAAGGAAAGACAAGTTTAAAAGTCTGATGAAAGCTTTGGCATTATTTCCAGGCAGATGTAACACTTGTGGGAATCACATTCAGAGAGTTAGAGATGAAGTTGTACAGAGAGATCTGTGTCTATCTGTGTTTAGGGATTATGCTAGATTTGGTTAAGCTCTGCACATGCTGAGTGACTGACACTGTGGTATGGAATGTTTGCAGAGAGGGTATGTGACATTTCAGACTACAGTATAAGGTGAAGCAGAATAAAATGCATTATGTACTGTACTAAGTGTGGTAAGCTTATGTTGATCCTAAATATATGTTCAAGAGCATCTCTCTCCTGAACCCATTTAAGGAAACTTAGAAAGATGTTCTGAAGTATACAGTAAAAACTACTTGTGAGAAAAGTGTCCTAAGCAAGACTTACAGTATGTTACCTCTAACTGTTGTTAAAAACTGGTCAACACTTAGATTTTCTGTCAAATTAATTACTGGAATGCCCTCTCTCAAATTGATTACTGTAATGTCCTACTTGCTAGGGTATCTCAATCTATATTGAACAAACTACTGTATGTTCAGAATTCGCCAGTCAGAATCCTGGCCAGGTCTAGTGCAAGTGATCACATTACTCCTGTCCTGGTGTCCTTGCATTGGCTACCTATCAGGTATCGTGTCGACTTCCTTATGTTAGCCCATAAGGCTCTACAAGGCTCTACAGACTCAAAACCTTCTTTTATAGATGGGCATTTATTTAACTGGTACTGTGTCTGTACTACACACCTTCACCTTCACCTTCTTTCTGTAAAGAGTGTTGAGAATCCACTTTTAGTGTCGCTATCTAAAATAAACATTACTTTTATTATTATAAACTTATTATATAAACTATTATTAATATATTGTTGTTGTTGTTGTTGTTGTTATTATCAGGCACTTTTTATAAGAAATAAACAGAACTTCAGAGAGATGTTCTGTGGCTTCTGGTATCCCCAAAAGCGTCAGTGTTTCTTCTACAATGGGGGTTAAGATTCTGAAATTTATTAAGTTTAAAACACGAAAGTGATTCAGAAAATTCTATCCGAGTTGCCAGGAATACTAGTAGTCCAAATGACCAATTGTTGCATGAAGAAAGGTTTCTGATATACAGATATATGATTTGTAGTGTGCTCTAGTCATAGTGCCAATTTAATGTCTGAGTGGCAGAGGACAGAGTTTTGGGTCTAGTTGGATCCCCAAAGAAAATCGTCTGAGACAATAGTATCCAATTATTAAAGTGCAATTGAGGGAAAAAAAGAGGAATTTATGTGTCCATGAATCATGGTGTCATGCTTGTAAACCCCTCCTCTTAAGGACGCTCCAGCCCTTCCTAGTTTTGTATTTATCTCCTGCACCTGACTCCGGTTCCTGCCCCCCATCCTATAAAAGCCAGGCGTTCCTGCCAATCTGGGCTCAGCTTTGGAAGATGGAGGCACGGAAGCCCATCTATCCGCGAGTCCAGGAGCGACTCGGTGGCTTCAGCTTCACAACGGCTTCCTGACCATCTGAGTCTGGGATCGGGAGCGTCTGGTTCCGTTACCCCCTTTTATTCCCCCGACCCTCCGCCAGATCCCGATCCGGCTTTTAACTCTGTTTGTCTGTGTCAGGATGGATCTCCCGGTTTTGGACATTGGAACGTTCTCGGATTTGCCTCGGACTCCTTTGGACATGTTTGGCTCGGACACACCCCTTTGAACACCAGCGCACCTTGGACACACCCCCTGTTTTCCTTCCAGCCCCTTTGCATGCTTTTTTCCCCGTTTTTTTTTCCTCACTCCTCCCCGGATTGTGCTGTCTGCATAGGGTCCTGAAAGAACGCTTCGTGACACATGGCATGAATCATTCTCAAAATTAGGGTTTCATTTCAAACCCCACTTATTCTTATTTTCAGTTGGTACTGTTGTTGACTTTTAAATTGAAAATCAGTGTTCCTGTAAATATCTTTTAACTACTCTATCATACTGTAGATAAGATAGTTTCCAGTAAGTTTAGGCTGAGCTAAAAATTCCACATCTAGAGGCAAGGATAACTACAATTGTGAGTTTGTGAACTGATGTTTTCAGGTGACGCCTTTTGTATTTGAGAAAATAGACTTGATGGAAATTTTGGTTGCTTTGATTTGATTGAAATGTTTTTGTTTGCGTGTTTCATTTAGAAACCAGGAAATAGTTGATTTACAGTAGTCATATGCAGTAACACGATATGCAGGTCAGACATTAAGATCACCTTCCAAGATTTACTAACAAGTTAAGGGAAATCCCCTTGCCTGTTCACATTCTCATGTTTTATACTGTTTTTTCAAACTTAATTACTGTAAGTGTAGTAAGTGTAGTCTTACATAGCAGCTCATTAACACCAAACAGCTTAAGAGATTGAATTCCAAAATAATAATAAAAACACACAAACATTTAAATACACACAGTACATATGCTTAATGTAATGATGTAACACTGTAGAATGAATAATAAACAGCTTTTAAAGAAGCCAATGGAGGTTAATAATGACAGTGGCTAAATGAAAGATTCCTTTTACATGTAGTGTAAGCCCCACAGAGTGTACGCTACACGTAAACATTTCTGTACAAATGAATAACAGAAAAATAAAAAATGTCTTGGAAGTATGAAAGTTTTGAAATAATTTTCTAAAACATATTTTTGTAGTTCTTTAAAATTGTAAACCACATTAAAACATATTTATGCATTGATAAATACATAATTTAATATTTCAATATCTGTTTCTTTACATGGAAAGCAGATTCAACCATTTCCAGGTACTGTAAGTGTAGTTTAAACCCCTTTCTTTACAGGTTCAGTGGCTAATTTATTAACATTATTTGTTACAGTGAAGGGTCTCCTTCACACACAAAACTATTTCATAGGGAAAAGCTTACTTGTCAATAGACAAGACACATTAAACTTTTTTTCTAATATACACTGTATAAATCATTTCTTTATGAAACAGCGATGCTAATGTATACAGTATCATACAATTAACAGAGTGTACTCTACAATTGACTTACCTTGCAATAAAGCAGTGGCCACAAACAAAATATTTGCACAGGTGCAGATCATCACATTTTTCACAGTCGGGGTATCTCGTACACAGTCGCAAACTTGATTTTGCAATTATTGTGCTGTCAGGGCTCAGATTGTTTCCTCGGATCGTTCCTTCCCTGCCTTTAATTATGACAAATTTACTGCTGTCCTTCAGGATCTCGATGAGCTGCTCCTCTGACAGTGGCATCATCTGCTTTAGCTCCCTGTACAGCAGACAGCCTCGGTTTCTGCAAAGAAATTTTGTAACATCAACTGCCATTCCATCTGAGCGCGGTTTCCTTGTTGCATCGCCCTGTTCCGACATCATCAGAAACTGAAGTGAAACAAAAAGCCAGTGTTGCTCTCCATAGAGCTCCCTCACATGTGACCAAAAGTGGAAGAGATCATTCCTCGTAATTAGTACAAATATCCCAAGGTGTATTTCCATGAGTTAATAAAGTGGTTTCCTAATTCTCCTATAGGCTGAACAGGTGGTTTTGCAGTTGCATCTTGATCTTTTCAACGGTTCCTTTTTCACTCCAATATAAAATTAGTGGAGATGTTAAGACTGAGCCTGATTCTCTCCATGTTTCCATACGACTTTATTTATTTTTCTTTGGAAAGACCAACTTTTTTTCACAACAAGGGACAGGGATATGAGGAATTATTCAGCTGTGTTGTAAAATGCAATTGTCTTCACAATCTATTTCCAAAACCATTTATCTGAGATAACATCACCATGTTAGGCTGATGTTAGGTCTAGACCACAGTAATGCACTGATGTTACTGTATAAATATATGAAAAAAATCTTTTAATGCATCTACATTCCCACTTCACCATCACCTCCGTTCAAAATTTCTTTTGTTGGTCTGACTTCTGAATTCATTTTCAAATGAACAAGTTGAGGTTCTCTGGTGTATTCCTGTTGGGGAATCATCCACACCATGAGATATTTTTTTGAAAATCTAAACAGTATGTACTGTACTTGCTGCCATCAACTATAATTGTACAGCACAGCTGAACATAATAATGGATTTGTGGTACTGTATAATATAAATTAACAAAATATCTTTGGGATTTTGCTTTGGAATGTAGCCGTGCAGCATTTTGTTTGACTCTGTGTGCAGTTTCAATATGAATCAGTTTTGCTTTTGTTTTCATGGATTAAAAGATAGGTTCAAATTTGCATTACCCACATTGTAACCACATAATGTAACCACAAGCTGGGGTGCACTAAATTCAATCCGGATTGTTGAAATATAATCGTTTTGGCCTTTGAGTTACCATCCATCCATCCACCCATTTTCTAACCACTTCTTCCGATCCGGGGTCGCGGAGGAGGCAAAGCTTATCCCAGCAAGCAGCAGGTGCAAGGCATGATACACTTTGGAAGGGAAGCCAGTCCATCGAAGGGCAGACACACATCAGGGCCAATCTTCCCAGAAGCTAATTAGTCTACCAGTATGTTTTTGGGCTGTTTAACCTCAGCACCTGAAATAAACCCATCTGTACCCAGGTAGAACATACAAAACTCCAAGCAGTATACTAGGTTTAGAATTGTTGGATCTAAATTAGCAGTTCAGCTTTAGAACAGCTGAACTCAGTTCTGCGAGAGGAACAAACTTACTTTCTTGACCCAATCAATGTAAACTTTACTAACAGCGACTAAGATACAGCATTATTTTTCCATTGTAGGCGATCCCAGCTTCACGGCCTGTTGGAACTTTCAAACAAATTAGTTTGAAGATGTATGAAGATGTTACCAAGTAGATGTTAACAGATGTTACCACAGTTAAAAAAAATTGTCTTGACTTTGTCATTATATGAGGTTTTTCACACAGACCAAATAAAGTTGTTCAGAGGAAAGAAAAACAAATTCCTGGTTCAATAGACAGTGCATTACCTACATACTGGACCAGCTACCCCTATTTATCCAGTATCAACAAGTAATAACATACAAAACATAGTGACAGTGACAGTGACAAATGACAGTGACAGTGACTGCTACCCCTATTTTTGCTGTTACTGCTACTACCATTCTTTCCTGATCTTTCAACACCAGTTCAGACACTTTTGCACTTTTGCATCCTATTCTCACAGCTGAACACCATTTCCACAGAAATTAAACCCTCTTGTGTCATGTACCGTATGTCTATGGCAGATTGCCATAATTAGTATTGAAAGAACTGTGGGAAGAAATGTGAAGAACATTTGAGATGTGTTGCTGCGTGAATGCTTTGTTTAGAAAAATAAATGTAAGCTGACTTTTGCACTCACCTCTGTTTCACGTATCTGTTTCGAAAACATGCCAGGAACAATGCACTGTACTTTTTATTAATTTGAATATTGCATCTACATAGTCAACAAGAGCCGGTCCCATTTCCCATAAACCACACCCACGTGGAAATTGTAATGTTAATCAGACCCATCTAGACATAAGCAAATGATGTGTTTTCAAATAGTGACAGCTGCTGGGAACCTTCAGAAAACAGCCGGATGAAATATGCTTATCGCATCAAACAATTTGCAATCAAACAAGCAATAATGACCTTCCCTTTCTTTCTTTTTTACTTCTTCATTATATACTATCTTATAACAATCCCCCTCAAGTGAAACCGTTGAAGAGACAAGGGAGACACCTGGGAAGTGAGATAATAATATCATTTTTGTATTTTTGCAAACTATGCAGTCTAGTGGCTTGAACTCGGCTTTGCACCCAAATATATAAATGTGCTGCCTGTCCTTGGTCAGTAGGATAAGAGGGCATGTATGAGGTAAGCTGGCTGTGTGCCCAGAACATATGAAAGGAACTAACTTTTGTCTAGTCTGCAACTTAGATATGATTAATAACCATATAGGGATGTGTTGTTGTCTTATCATTCGTTCAGAATATGTCGTAGTAACTAGTTTGTTTCGCGGTATTAAAAAAACATCTTTCGTTACTTGTTTTCGAGTTTGGTGGTTGCAAGCCGTTCTTCCATATGCATATGAAATAAAGAGATTTCTACTACACAGACACCTGGATTTTATCATTTGTATGACACAAAACCATCAAAGAATTGTGATAGAAAATAATCATGAAGACTGATCGGTTCCAGAAGTTCCACTATTTTACAAGAGTTTTTAAATCAATTTTAATAAGACCACAACAAAATACAAAGCTAAAGAAATGGGCACAGAGGAGGCTAAATAAGACTTTTGGAAGTTTTTTTCCTTTCGAAGAGGGAAAGCAACTGACTCCACTGTCATGGTGTGCATAATAGGAACAAGAAAACAAAATACATTGTTTCAAATAGAGGGTTAGAATAAATGGAGAAGATCAGGAACTGACCTAGTGCATGTGTCAATAATAAAATAAATATTACCCCCTACTTGTAAATTATTTCTCCAATAATATAACCGAGTGATTTCTATAGTTAGATGCACGTGAATTATTTGTTCTATGATACAGCTTTGGTGAAAAGAGTAATAATTCAGGCACACTTGGTTAGACAAATAGTTATTAACAATGACAGCAGCACACACCACACTTCACACAACATAAACTTTCAACACACAAGTTACTGTATTTACAAGTTTACAGACAAGGCTTTTTTTAGAAGCCTATGTCTAAATCACCCAGAAAACCCCAGGCTGCTATCCAGAACTTGGACTCTTAAAGATAATAAGGTGTACAGAGGCCAAAGAAGAGATATGCTGCCTTCTAAAGTAAATTGAATACAACCTGCAGTCAAAGTTTTGGTGAAAAGAGTAGTAACTCAAGCAAACTTGCTCAAACAAATATTTATGACCATACATACACTAAACAACACACAACATAAACATACAATGCACATGTTATCCTGTGTACAAATTTACAAAGAAGGCATCCCAGAGGCCTAAAGTTCTAACCACCCTAGACTGCTACCAAGTATTCAGCTTTTAGAAAATGTATGCAGAGGCTAAAGGAAAGGATATGCTGCCTTCTAAACAAATAGAATACAACCTGTGATTAAATCTCACTCTTTATAAACCTGGTCGCCACAAGATGAATAGGAACCTATCTTCCTATTCTAAAAATACACCCACTTGACCAGGAGAGGCTGTTTTTAACCAAGGGATTCTTTACTCAGGAAATCAGAGCTCCCTAAAAACCACAAAATAGCAAGCTCTCTTAGCAAGGTTCAAATACTTACCTTCTGTCTGGTCTTCATGGTTGAACTTGAGCAAGGAGCTCTTGTGTTGGACAGGAGAAGTTCCACTTCTCTGCTTACTTAGCTAATACAGCAGTGTGCGGATTTGTTGTCTACAGTACATGTGATTATTGCAGTTCACTGTGTGATAATTTTTCGTACAGTATATATTTAACTTCAGACAATTTGCATTTAATTTCCTCTTAATACTTCTCAAGGACTAGAAAAGCAGAAAATAGGTTTAAAGGCAACTAGCAGACTCTAATTATCTATAGTACAGTATTTTAAAATATATACGGTAAATGGAATTAAGGCTAATATTAACAAGCTCTTACTGATCACACTAACAGCTAAAATAAGAAAATACAGTAATAAGCAGTAAAATGAGGGAGGAAGAATAAGATTTATAAGGTGCATTTCAACACTGTGGCCCATATCAAAAACAAACTGGACAGTGAAAGAGTACATGCTATTATACTAATAAATCATTCAAAGTTATGATCCAATGTTCTAAGAAAGAAATGCAGGCACAGTGACCAAATCTTATTTGTTTGTTTAAATGGACTTTTTTTCATCCCGAAATTGTGGTCAGTACTAAAGTGCAATAAAGTCCCAGACAACCATTAGGAGCATTTTCAAAGCATGAGAAAAAAACCAAATACCACAAATTCTATTAAATGATTAAATAATAAATGATAAAAACTAGATGCCTTAACATTTCTGTCTAATGCTGCTTCCCCAAGATCTTCTAAATTCAAAAAGCGCAAAAAAAAGTCACACATTTTGCAAGTCACCAAAAATGTTTGAGAAATTAAGATACCATTTCAGTATCCTGGGTGTCTGGGGCTTTTAGCTGTACTCAATAAGATACTCGGGGTAGATCTGGTGTTTCTCAAAGATCACAAAAACTGATGGGTTGGATGTCGAATCGACGCAGCTGTCGTAAAAGACCGAGTTGCCTTCTTTTAAAGGGGGATGCAGATAGTTGCTGTTTCCTTGAGAGAAGTCTCCAACCAGGACTCGCGCTACAAACATAATTCTGCTGCCGGTCGTAGGCTTGGAATTGTTGTGGAAATATGAAGCATCCCTGGAAAAGTAGTTTCCTGTAAAACATCAACAAATATTGCGCTATAGTACCGCCACATAAAAACACTTAAGACTTTCACATATTGAACAAGCATACTTCTGCCCTGTCCATTCAGGATTCAGGAGGGAGAGTTTGAAACATACAAAGAAATCAAATGACTCTGGTGTTGGCTTTGTGCTAGAAAAAGAATCTTGACAATCATTTGAAAATCTACCGCTCCGCATTAATCTCTTTTTGTGAACAAGTCAGACAAATATTAAGAGACAAAAAAGACAATTCTACTGTACTTTTATCTTTACAACCCAAATGGTTTCATTTCACCTTTGGATTTACACATTCATTGACATATTGTGTGCTGCACTCAAGTTCTACAATTTCAAGTTCACCCTTCTTCTACAATTAATTATCTTAATGGAGCACCCTTAAACAACTGCTGTTTAAGGGTGTTCCCACGATTGATACTATGGCTTTCAAAATCCTACTTTTCACTTTCATGTCAGGAAACATTGCAATTAGTTTAATGAATTCTCTTACTATAAGTTATGTCTTGATTTTTGATTCCATTGAATTACACCAAGCAACTATTTGATCTTCTGCCATTTTAATCCATGCCAGTTTTATGTTAGTTAACTTTATGCCACCTTTTATTTCCTAGAATACTTAAACCTTTACTTCCTATAATAAGGTAGGACATTTTCTTAAAAAACACAAGAACGGGTATTGCTTTCTATCACAAAGTCATGGCTTGTATGACAAACAGTGTCTGTTAATGTTAAAGGTCATATGTTATAGGAAGGGCTTGTGCTAAATTGTCTGAAATGTGGTGTGCACTGGAAGAGGTTTCACTTTTATACAAAAATGTCTTTTTTGTCTAATCTTGAAGGCATTCTGTTGTGTTGTCCAGGAACAGGGATACAATCAATCAGAGCAACAGACCTTCAGCAAATGAAGTCAAACCACCTTTAACAACGGGAGCTCAAGACTTCAGAGTGGGCATTTCTATTCATTTCAAAGAGACACCAAGACTCCTAAAGTAATGGTCACTGATACCTAGGCCAGATCCCTCTGAAGACTCTTTATTGGTGTTTTATGTTCCACTTACCAATTCCATATGCATTGTGGGCCCCAGAGATACCCCTGTCAAAGTTTTGTTCACAAATGGCCTTGATGAGGGATTTCTCTGTGCCATGGAACAAAAAACACTCATTCACAGTCTTGCCTCCATTTCTCTTCATCATTTGGTCTTTCTGCCTAAAACAACACACACACAACGGGTATGAGACACATGAAAAGTGATATACAGATGTACAAGATATCATGAGAGCCCTCTGGGTGGCTTCAATGTTTTCTTTTCTTTTCTAAATACCATACACACCCTGATGAAGGCAATTTGATCAAAATGGTGATGGATCAAAAGGGCATTAAAATGGCCCAGTGATAATTTAATGGATATGTTTTTTTATCTCAAACAGTAAATTAATTTGACATGAAGGGAGACCAGCCAATCATAGGGCATGGTGAGAAATGGGCAACTTAGAATACCCTTAGGGCAACTTGTTTTCCTTGAGCTTATGAGACATATTTGACGATTTCTTTAAAACGACAACTCAAGGCCAGTAGCAATCCTTCATACTTCAGGGAAGAGATAACTGCCACACCACCTTGCCACCACTAAACAGGCGAAATCAGAAATACAGCTAACAAGTTGGGCACACACCAAGTCAAATTTACTGTCCTTTCACACAGGGTAATCTTGCTGAAATGAACTTACCACTGGAAGACATTCCAGAGATACAGGTTCTGAATCCTTTGAATCTTGTGGATAGTACTTGTAGCCATAGAGCGCCTGAAGAGGGTTTCAATTTGTCGATATTCCTCACCAGACTTTGATTGATGAACGAGCTGTTAATAAATACAGTCACATCAATATTGAGGAGGAAATGTGAAATTGAGTTTGCATCACTTCCTATCTATTCTTACATTGTTGCAGATGCTAAGGTACTTATGGCTAATATGTTCTCCAATTTTCTCGCCAATCCTGGTTTAACCCAATGGCAGTCTCTCTTAAATGCATCTAAACAGCAGTAACTTTCTACCATAGTGTAACTTCTATAGTTACACCTAGTTTATACTGTAGTTCTATAGTTAAAGTAAAAGCACAACTATAGTCAATGTGACTTTTTTTTTTAATTGTGAAAGACATAAAAAATGATAAACTAATGAAAGTAAGTCTCATTGGTGTGCGAAAAACTTTGGCACCCTTTGGCATTTTGTAGAAATTCAACATTCGAAGATTTGATTTTGTGTAACAAGCATTTATAGGACGTACTGTAATTGGACTGAAAGAAAACTGTTCGAGGAACACATTTAGAGTTGCAGAATGGTTTGAAGTAAAGTGGTGAGGCACTGGTCCAAAATGTCATGACCAAAACTATGTCATGAACATGGTTTTAAGAATGCCCTATAGCAACAGCAGAGATTTGCGTAAAACAATAGAACACATATGATTTGACTTTTACTTTTAGAAATACCTTATGAGTGAAGTCTAACAGAGGAACCTGAACCCAGTGAGATGGAATGGAGACATCAGCAGAGCCTGGTGTCATCAAAGAGACACTTTACATCAACCAAAACAAAAATGGGAAGGATAATGGTCAAATTTCCATTGCTCTGGACACTTGGTCTTGGTGGTACAGTACATAGTAATTATATAATAATAATAATTATAGTGCTTTGAGAGCAGACAGTTTTCAATGCATCATCTAATTTTACTAGCACCTTGAATTTATGGAAAAGTGTTTCCATATGCTAAACATCACACGAAAAATACTGTTCATAGTAGTAGGTTTGAAGAAATGATCAATTACTAATGTGTCACAAGAACAGCAATCTAAAAATACACTATCCCAGCTATTCAAAGTATCCCTGACCTCTTTACCAACATAATATATGATTTGTATTTCAACAACAATGTCTGAAACACGTTTACAATATGTCTTTCTCTTTTTAGAGCTAAACAGCTTAAAAAACATTGCCTTACAAATAAAAACTAATGTTTTTGCAACATAAACTTTCAAATTGATGATTTTAATGTACTCTATGTAGCAAGCCAGGGTACCGAATTCAGGTATTTGTTCAAGACAAAGTGAGAGAGTGAAACCGAACTGAATGATATGACGAAAGGATTTTCAAGTACCTCTTTATCTTTCTCTCCACATCTTGCGCAGAAACAAACCTTGGCCTCCTTCTCACCTCTCTCTTTGCTGTATTCTTCCTATCCTGCTGATACATGTCTGCAAGACAGAAGCCACACTGCAGTGATTAAAAAAGTGCTTAGGAAAACAAGTGAGCATTGGTACAGAGACGGGTAACCTTTAAAGAACCAGAAAGATACTTGCATGTCTAGATAAGATGATGGCTTGAAACAAAACTAGATGGGTCACAGGTCCATATCTTTTTTCTGCACATTTTTTCTAGCAAACATTTTTAGAACATTTTAGAACATAACAAAAATTGAACAAATACAGAACAATACCACATAAAAGTGAAGTTCCCCAAAAAATAACAAGGAGGAATGAGGCTAATTAAATTGATTTTGTACATAAAAAGATTAACTGTGCTAGCCTTCAGTTGTTGAACTACTGTAGCACAGCTGCAATTAGATGTACTTTCTGTAAGCTCAATTCCTATGAATGAAAGCAGTCACGTATGAGTCTGCACCCAGCCGCGTAACAGGGGCAGAGCGGTGGCTCTGTGGCTAAGAATCTGCGCCTGTGACTGGAAGGTTGCCGGTCCAAATCCCATAGCCGGCAGAGGAATCCTACTCCGTTAGGCCCCTGAGAAAGGCCCTTAACCCCAACTGCTCCAGGGGCGCTGTACAATGGCTGACCCTGCGCTCTGACCCTCAGCTTCTCTCCCTGTCTGTGTGTCTGTGTCTCATGGAGAGCAAGCTGGGGTATGCGAAAAGACGAATTCCTAATGCAAGAAATTGTATAGGGCTAATAAAGCAACATTATAAACATTATCATTAAAATGAGTATTTGGCAACAGGTAAGTGTAGGTGGATTTTAACCACCAGAAAAAAGATGTTATACCTGAAAATCAATTGCAACTTTGGAATCACTGAACAGGAGCAGTCTGGAGTTCATTGGCACATCAGTCACACACATCTAAAAGCCCTTTATCAAAGGACATACACAACTTATATAAGTGTGTGCCAGTGTGTCAGTCACTACGTAACTCCATCTGACGCTAAGTAACAAAGATGAAAGAAGCAATCTTCATCAAAAACAGATAGAAAGGGGCTGTGAATATTCTAAAACCTTGGATAACAGATAATCCAGGAGAAGAATTTACAGTAAATCATCCCAGACCACATTCCAATCGGAAGATAATATATCCTGGAGCCTCATTGGTAAAATTAATAGCTCCTCTACAGCTCCAGTAGAAACATTTACAATTACGTACTGTACATCCCAGCCACTGTAAAATCTGGGGTGTCATATGCTTTTAAACCAAATCCTTGGCCACTTACACCTCCAGATATTATCAGTAGAAATGTGTTTGATCATGAAAAATAAGAAATTCATAAGAAACATGTGCTATCCTGTCCAGGGTGATAGGCCCCTGCTCCCTTGTGACCCTGAATTGGAAGAAGCAAATAGAAAATGGATAGATGGATGTTCAAGTATGAGGTTACAGTATTTTAGCAGTGGGATTACCTTTGAAGCTGAGGATGTATTGTTGACCGCCTGTGATGAAAGGCACATCACTTTCATTGTCAGCTAAGTATACTTTCTCCAAGACACTTGACGTGACTGATGATGACTCAGACTGTTCGTCCTCCTGCAAGAATCAAAATATCCAAACCAAGTTCACACTTTCCAAAATGTCCATTCTAATAACCAAGGACATGTTCATGTTCAGGTTTTCTGAATGATCGTCTGTAACAGGTTTTAAACACATAAGTATCTCTTATTCTATTCTACTTCTTTTCTAATCATGGCCATTGTTTCTTTTTACTTATTAGATTAAACTGACACGGCTATCCTCTGTTTTTATAATCCAGAAAGTTATTTATTGTTTACACTGTCAGTTCAATTGTTAATTGTAATTTATGCAGGTGTCAAAAACTTTAAAAGAATGGCGGTGTGGTGGCTCTGTGGCTAAGGATCTGCACCTTTGGCTGGAAGGTTGGTGGTTTGCATACTGCGGCCGGCAGAGGAATCCTATTTTGTTGGGCCCCTGAGCAAGGCCCTTAACCCCAACTGCTCCAGGGGCGCCGTATACTGTAAATGCCTGACCCTGAGCTCGGACCCCAAGCTTCTCTCCCTGTCTGTGTGTTTCATGGAGAGCAAGTAGGGGTATGTGACAAAGAGAAATTCCTAATGCAAGAAACTCACTGGACAACCGTATTCAATCCACTTCCCGAACTCGTTCTTCCAGTACCAGACCCACTCTGTTGTGAGGATGACGTGTGGAGGTTTGGTGACAGAGGAGGCTGTGGAGAGACGCCTGACTTCAGCCGGGCCACAGGTCATGGTGAGGAAATTCACAGCTGGAGATCCCAAACTATCAACACAAACAAGCCCTGTTAAGTCTTTCAAGCCCTGTTAAGTACTTATTGGAAAATACTCGTGAGTAAGCATTGAAAAAAAAGAACAAGCAAATGGTATATTTCCTGCATGGAGTCCATTTTCTAACTGCTTTATCCAATACAGGTCAGAGGGTACCAAAACCTACCCCATGGTACAAAGCAGGATACAGTACACCCTGGATGGGATACCTGTCTATCCCAGGGCACACACAGACACAGACACACTTATGGGAATCAGAAGTAACAGAACAGAAATGTTCTGTTCTGGGACCACTTTTTCACATCAGGGCCAATTTGTACAGAAACCTGACTGGCTGGTATGTCTTTAGACTCTGACAGGAAACCAGAGCCCCTGGAGCAAACCTATGCAAATACTGTGAGAAAATACAATCTCTGTGAAGATAGCTCTACAAATACAATCTCCGTGGAGCTCTTCAGGAATCAAACCTAGGGTCCCAGTACCAAGAGGTAACAATGCTAACCACTGTGTCACTGTGCTGCTCCCCTCATAAAGTATTATGCATTATACTAATTCAGCACAATGTGATAAGAACAAAGTGAACTTTATTTTATTATAAAAATGCCCTGGAATTATCTGAATGAACCTAATTCCAACTGAAAATGTACACCTCCTCTTGATCAATATTAGTTCACTGAGCATAGTTAACACTATACCTAGAGTAGCTGGATCTGAAGCAAAAACCCAAAAAGTCTTATGCACTGTAGCTGTAATTTTAAAGTGGAATATTTCTTCAAACCCATGCTGAATTTGAATACTGCTAATTTTATGTGTTTTTTTCCAGGGTCCAGCTTTCATACCCATACATTGATATGGGGAACACAACACCATTGTGCATTTGGTTGTGAGGCTGATGTCTTTGCTCTTCCAGATTTGGTTCTCAGCATCGCACTACAGCCTAAAGAGGATGGATGCTTTCGAGCTATGGTGCTGGAGAAGACAGTTACGGATACCATGGACAGCAAGGGTCAGCAATAAAGAGGTTCTGGAGCGCATCAAGCCAGAAATTTAGCTTGAGGAAAAGTTCACCAGACTCCGGCTCACTTATTCTGGTCACATGATGCGATCAGATTCATTGGAGAAAGCAATGATGCTTGGAATGGTCAGTGGAACAAGAAGACGAGGCCGCCAAAGAACGCAGTCAAACCAGACACTGGCTTAGGCACAGAACAGCTGAAAGGGAAACTCCAAGACCGGAAAGCATGGTGAGAGATGGCCTATAGAATCGCAGAGAGTCGGAGCCGACTGACCAGATAACATCATCATCATCAATTTTATGTGTTACCCTTTTGGAATTCTACACGGGTACAACATTATGCTGAAAGTGATTAAATTCCTACGAATGTCTTTGTTTTTATGTCATAAGAAAAGTGCCATCTGAATGAATTAAACTGCGATAACAGAGAACTTTGAATTCCTCTGAAAAACCTGCAGCTTAAAAACAATATATTAAGGTAATTAGTTCTCTCACATCTTAATAATAACAACAACAACAACAATAATATGGGCCACTCACAAATATAGATACTGAAACATAAATGTATTATACTAGCTTCTAAGTCCCAACAGAGCAGTAGAGCAGGATAATATCAAGAGTATTACCCACTCCTACCGTCCCTCACCCATTGATGATTGTACAGCAAAAATGTCGACTTTCATAGATTTAACTCAGAATTATGAGACCACCCCCTGGATATCTGGTTAATAAATTAGTTTTGTGCATTTTTCTGCTTTTGCATCTTTACCTTCTGACAAAACTGATCGTGACAGATCCAGACAGACAGATTGATTGATTCCACCTTATCTTCTGAAAGCACATATATTTCTCAGATGGTCAGGAACAAATAAGGTACAAAACTTAAATTAATGAGTAGTTAGCAAGCATTAAACACCTTGTTGAATTTTCTGGGTCGCAGTATGCCTTTTCAATTTCTTCCATGTTGGGAAGATATTTCCAGGTTGTCCCATCGCTGTCTAAGATCTCCCACTTGTAAGGCAGATGGTAGTGAACACGAACACACTTATCTGGAGAAAACAGGAGAGCAACAGGAGTCATGTACGATACTCCTGCGACGTAGTTACAAAGATGCTATTTAGTAAAAAGTCAATGTTGTACCACACTCATTCTAACATATTTGGAAAATTATCAGCACACATTAGGCATATCGATTCATTCAATGTTCATGGACACTTTCTAACTGCACATTCACTCTCTTACTTTAGGAATATCTAGAATATCAAAGTTGGAGTACCAAAATGTGTCATCTCAGAACATATCGCTCGTGAAAAGGTTATTCGACATTTAACCATCTGCGTGAAAGAACTCCTGAGAATCCCACAGAGCACTTGCAATATTCAATTCAATATTGACATGAACTCTTTAATTCTTCTTTTCAATTACTCCACCACTATTATACAGTGCCTTCTGGTAGTGTAGTAATTAGTAAAACTACTAAAAAGCTAACCTGTGCTTAATTCCTGACTACCGAATATATAAAATGTAATGTTTGAGAAGTACAATAGTGATTAGGACTGAAGACTTATAACTGGAATGCTAGAAAGACAGAATCGTAGGTGAGGTACTGTGGTTGTACTTTATGGCAATGTACTTCATTTAGATTGCTCCAGTAAAATACCCTGCTTTATAATTGTGTACTCTTTAGGTTGTCATTATAAAGGAGAATTGGGTCTTAAATTACCACAGCTGATTAAAAAAGACTTTAATATAGATTGAATAAAGTCCCAGAGCAAACCATTTTATTTCTTCATTTAATTGTTCATATCTCCTATATATAGAGAGTTGTATTGAAAGTCGTATGGAGACATCCTTCCCAGTGTCATTTCATACTGAAAGAACTATGTGTAAATGTACAGTAAAAGCTACACAGGCATAATTAATAATAATTCCTGACACTTCTATGGCTCTTTTCTGGGCACTCCACTCAAAGAGCTTTACAGGTAATGGGGTTCCCAACACCACCACCAATGTGCAGCCACCCCTGGATGGTGCAACAGCAGCCAAAGTGCACCAGTACACTCCCCACACACTAGCCATCAGAAGGGAGGAGAACAGAGTGATGAAGCCAGTTCAGAGATGGGGCTTATTAGGAGGCCGTGGTTGGTAAAGGCCAATGGGAAATTTAGCCAGGATGCCGGGATAACACTGCTACTCTTTTCAAGAAACGCCATGGGATTTTTATTCAGGACCTCGGTTTTACATCTAATTCGAAGGATGGCATCTTGTTACTGTATAGTGTCTCTGTCACTATAATGGGGCATAGGAGCTGCAGGAGATCTCGGACTGCAGGGTGAGTGCCCCCTACTGGCCCCAATAACCTCCCCAGGAAGTCACCCATCCAGGTACTGGCCAGGCTTCAGTTGTGAGTTGCAGGGTGATATAGCTGCTGCCATGAACAACAGCAGAGATCGCAATAAGAGATATCAAACTGTAGAAAACAACATAATATGAAAAGTATGGAACAGTCCCAAGGAACCCACCTTCAAAACTACAGTGTTTCCGGAGGAAAAACAAACAGATTTCATTAGCATCCACTTCACTGACAGAGTTTTGAGGTTGCATGAAGTCCTGTTGCTTCCCTGTGGAAGCAAGAGTTTGAATGAATCAGCTTCCCAAACACTGACTAAACAGGAACCTTGCTAGAGAATTCACCTGAGTTCCATTCACTGTTTGCTTTTTGGAAAACTCTAAATCCTTTTTAATACATTGATATATCCACATTTTCTTAATTTGCATTGTTTTTTTAAATAAACATTTCCAAGCTAGATGAATCAAGATTCAAATAATTTACTTATAGACAAAAATGTGGGCATAATTCACACAATATTTCATTTGTGAAAGTTAAAGTTAAATCCACAGAGCAATTAAAAGGATTTAAATGTTTTTTTTAATTGTTTTGTGTTTTTATTATGCTTGATAGAATGGATTAATTATCCTTACCTTCTGTTGTTTCCGCACAACTGTCAATCCTGAACTTGTTCTTATAAATCACAGGCAGACTGCAGGTGTTTTTCGCACTGAGGGTGTCACCCAATGGAGAATTATCAAGGTCTATGTCAAGTTTGTGTGACCTCTTGCAATTATCACCAAACTTGCAGGCCCCCTGTAAGTAGTGCTGGCAGACATGGAGGCTGGTACACCTCTCTTTGAAGGTACAGGATCCATGTGGTCCACTGCCCTTATTGTAATGTGGACAAACCTGCAAAACAACAATTCAAATCGTTCAGGTGGGGAGCTGCGACAGCATGCGTAGGCTGCAAATGGACAAGTAAGAGGTTTATTCCGTGCTGAAAAGAGGAGAAAGAAAACCCAAAGAAGGCTCCAAGACTGAAGCGTTGTGTTTTCTTTCTCCTCTTTTCGGCATGGAATAAACCTAACAATTCAAATCTACATTTAAAAAAAATAATTGAATGAAGTCCGTAATCCCTTCATTAATTGTAATGAATTCAATACTTCAGGCAATAAAAGAAGGTGAGAGGCTGGAAAATGGGGTCTGTGTTAGATACTTTAGGCCATGCCACCAGGATGGAAAGATATTTATTATTAGTAGTAGTATTAGTATTATTATTACTGTTGTTGTGTCTCACAGTTCCATACAGCACACAGTGATAACAGATTTAGATGCACATTACATTAAAATAGGAAAAAAGGGGGAAAAACAGATTGAACAGATTCAATGTAGGTTAGAGCCTAAGGGAAGAAAATTAGGACTTAATAAAGTTCCACATTAGTGAGAAGTGTTCTAGAAATGGCAAACTAAAAGACACGATTTTTTCTGGTCATAAGTTCTCGATGAAGTAAAAAGGATGTGAAGCAGAATGAAGATCTGTCCCAAATGATTTGCAAAGGAAGAAACTAACTAAAACTGAAGACAAAGTCACAGAAACACAGACAATGCAGAAGAAGCCTGTTCTATCGATTGGACCAGAAGAAGGGTGAGCAGTCACAAATGATCAAGGGAACTAGTGATCAAGAGAGCTGATTAATTTTTATGATGGTACAGAAGCTCCAAGACAGACAAAATAGATGAAGAGGACTAAAATCGAACCCTGCTTGAACACGACACATTCTTCCTACAGAAAGTGAAGCTTGCAATCACGTGGATAATAAAAAGGTGCCTTAAGACAGTGGTAGAGTACATCAACTGATATCATGAAGGAAGAGATGAGCTGACAAAAGTATTGAGGTGTTTATCAAGAATACAGAAGGCAAACCAAAAAAAACCCCACCAAAACTACATTGTAGTAATGTTTCTTTCCAAGTAGATCAGAAGGATCTCAAGGGTTTTGTCAGCAAATTTGGGATACCAACTGCTCGGATAAATTCTGGCGATAGCACTTAGAAGAAGTTAGAGATAATGAATATTCGTTTTACCAAATGACTAAACAGCTCAGTATTGACTAACCACTTCCTGATATTCACTATTTTCATAACATCCCATTAGTAACAATAGCTTTGTGAAATATACGTTTCTCTGCTTTCCGGTTGGTCCTACAAGATAATGTGACAAGGAAAGAGCGAGATATCTGGATATCAGGAAGAGTGAGAGATAATGACGTAAGGT